CACTCCAACATGAAACATTTCAGTTTTCCCATTTTTTTTTTTTTTTTTTTTTTTAATCAGCCGGAGCTAGCTTAGGAATTTGACTGAATTTGCAAATCATTTCAGCATCCTCATAAACAGCATTTTTTAGAGCCTGCATATTTTGTTCAGCTCTACCCCACCTCTGCTTCTCAGTTCTTTTTCTTTGGCCATCACACTAGGTTTCCAGCTTTTTTCCTTCCCTCCTCTCCCTTTGTATTTATTTTATCACTCTCCAAAGGAACGAAGGAGTTTGTCACACTCAGCTGTTTCTTCCCAACCATGCTGTGATGAGTCTTTTATTCTTCAGACAGCATCGTTCCTCCCCTGGTGCTTCTTTCCCACCTACTGGGACTGGATCTGCAGTAGGTGACTGACTCCTCCTCAGAGCCAAAGCCAAGCTGTGAGTCAGGTTGCAGAGCAGAGTAGCCCGTCATTTACATGTACCCATCTCTCACGCTCAGAGGAATGCAGCCTCCTACATAGAGCCTGGGAATTGTTAACACATTTCCTGAAGCTTTACAACTGTGAGTCATTGCTCAAAGTAACTCTTCCAAGCTGCAAATTCAGGGTCAAATCCTCATCTGGTGTATGTACCCCCTGCTTCCTCAGCTCTCACTGAAATGAAAGGCACCGTGCTTTCATTTAAATATTTGAAACTTTGATCTTCTTGGTATTTTCCAAGGCCTCTCAGCAGTGCCTTCTCAGCCATGTTTGTCCCATACTGTTCAGTGGGGAACTGAACCCCCAGATGCAACATTCAGCACTCACAATGTGCTCTACAAAACTGGGTGATTTCTCTCAGATATCTCTGTGGTGCCTGAGCAGCTGTTCATCGTTTTCCTCTTCAGAGTCACAGCCCCTCTGTGTAGAAGAGGAACACTGCCACCCCGATTTGCCATGAGACATTGAGGCTGCTGTCCGCATTGCATTTTGGAGGGCATTCGAAGGCTACTTTCCAAACCATGTTCACTCTCCATGCATACTATGAACACAGAAAGGTTTCCATACCCCAGACACAGCTGAAGACACAGTACCCAGCAGAGAGATGGGTCACTGTGATATTAAGAGCTGGCCATGAGGATCATAGATAGCCAGTGCTCCCAATGATGTTCGTAAGAGCTGTACAGGCATCTCAGAGACTGATGACTGCCTCCCTGGGACAAAAAGAGAACGTGGTTACTCTTCATCCTTTGCTTTACAAGGAAATCTTTAATGCTGTGGGCTAAAATCTTTCCTCAGAATTTCAAGGCACCTCCCAAAGGTACAGGTAATGCAAAGTGACATGCTGCTGAGGCAACATATCCATATGAGATGTTACATTAAAACTAGCAGTCACTTGGGGGTCTCAAGAGGTACAGTTACCGCAGAAGTACATCAGCTGACATACCACGTACAGTCAATCTGACTGATAACATGCAAGTGAATTATGGCATCCCAGCAATAAAAGTACAAGATATTGTTGTCTTTGCACATGCCAAAATAAATAACATTATCTTAAAGCGCAAATCCCTGTTATAATGGATCTGTTGACACAAATGCCTTAATGAAGCAGCTGTGTGTTTAGAAACTTGTATTCAATTTCTTCTGGGAAAAAAACCCCAAAAGATACTGAGTATCAGGCAATTTAAGTTAAACATCAATGAATCCATGAAAAATCTCTATTCCCAACTCCAGGCTGCTCAGCCTCTTAGAGAATTAAATAATTTGTCTGGGTTCCCATGGGTCTCAGGATGAGGCTAGGCATCCCTAGGCTGGAATGTCTGTACCGTTACACAACCCCATTACCTCAGGCTGTTGCAGCCTGAGAGTTTGCATGCTTTCTTCTTGTCTGGTGTAGGAGTACCTTCTGCAGCATTGCTCCTGTGGAGCTACCAGTGTCTTCCTCAACTCGTACCAAGATATGAAGACGTTTTCTTCTAGAAGAAGCAGACCTCACAGCCTCATGGTTCAGACTGGAAACACTTCTGATCTTTCCATCATCCCAGAAATAGGAGTGAACACTGAAAAGCTGAGCAGCTGCAATGGTGAGTTCAAATACCTCTAACTTGCCCTCCTGCTTGCCACCAGTTGGGTGGAATATGTTGACTTCCTTTTCCTTAGGAGAGAAGAGGGAAACAGAACAAAGTGTTAGTGGAACTACTACTTAGATGGAAAGCTATGAGTTTTAAAATGCTTTGTCTACACCTAGGATTTTAGCACTTGCTTCTTCACATGTGTGAAACGGGATTTTTTTGCTTTCCAGCTGTGGCTAAAAAGATTAGGACAAACGCACTACAAAATGTGTCTCTCTTTTGGAAACTTAGCATGCCTGAATGGGTCCATTAGTAGAGCCCCTCCATGTGGCTTTAAAATCCCCCCCGCCAAGGCAGGATTTGATCTAAGATGGAAAGGTTTATGCCTGTTGTTAGTCTCCTACCCTCTCAGGCAGGCACAGAACGCATTCCTGGAGGATGACTTATTCTACAGACCAAGTGGAAATAAGCCACAGCTGCAAAGCTTGGATCCAGAGACCAGCTTTTCCAGAAGGCTGAGAAAGACTGGGCTCAGCCTGCTGATGATAAAGCCAGATTAAAAGTCTGGATCCAATGTTAGATGTGAACCAGCACACTAAGTGATGCTGTTTAGTTTATTTCAGACCTTGGACTTCAGCCTGCCTCTAATACCTGGTGAAAGGCAGAACATCAGCACACCTACTTGCAGGATTGAGTCATAGTCTAAAGGGCCTTTGGGATCTCTAATGCTGAGGCTCAGTGCTCTTTCCTGGCAGTTTCAGAGCTGGCCTGGAAGGAAAATAAGACCATGAGGAAGCTGTTAGAAAGTCCTGCCATGGTCGTTTTATTGGACTGTTTACCTTCTTTCCACTGCAGTGTGGTATGAAGAGACACGGGAGCTCATCCCACCATTAAGTCTTTAGTGTTCTTATCCCATCTGGAGTCATAGCTTGCTGGCAGCATTGCTGAGAGGCCATCCTAGCAGGACGCTGCTGAGAAATGTGAGCAAGTCCTTGTGTTTCATTGCAGGAGGAGACAGACACTCGGATTCAGGAAACAACCAGCTGATGGCAGGGCTCAGGAAGTCATCAAACAATAGGAACAACAAGGAGAATGAGTTCAGAGAAGCTGGTAGTGTGGCTGAGGGACAGACTTTTCCAACAAAGGACTCTGCAGTAAGAAAGGTGAGTGATAAGCTTGGAGCTTATATCCAAAGAGAGCTGTGGGAGAGGCAGGGAAAAGTTCTGCTCAGGCAGACCAGAGTAGGGTACCAGGAGAACAAGCTTGCTAATGAATAGGGCTGGGGCAGTGAGGGCCAGGGTGCTCTGGGCCTCTCTGCTCCCAGCCTTAAATGAAGACAGTGACTCTGTCCACGTGCCAAGAAAGGCACAAGCAGATCATTGGTACAGGAGAGAGGAGCACTGTGGACAGCAACAGGGGCGTTAGCCCTTGCTAACCGGAGATAAACACATGGACTCTGTCACAAGTGTATTCACTACTGCTGCTAATGAGATTAAACCAAGCGTTCATTACCACACATAAAAATCTAGTGAGTCAATCCTTAGCTGACAACACTTATTACCAGACTGGCAGTGTATCGGTGTAATTAACCCCAGTCCTCAAAGTGTATTTCAGGGAAATTCTGTCACTGAAGTCCAAGGGAGCCAGGACAAGCGCTTTTCCTCTCCCTCCCTTTACTATTGTTTGTGGCTGCCTCAGCACTTTCAGATTCCAGTGGGGATCAGAAGTGCTGAAATGCCAGGGCAGAGGCTCTAATCAGAGTATTCCCAGCCTGACAGGAAAGAGGAAGGAGTAGGTCTTTCATGGGAAAGACCTTCTCATGAAATTTCCACCCCGAAGTTGCAAATAGGTTGCAAACACTTCAGTGAACTATCAGAAATCAGATTAAGGCTGAATGCTGCAAAGTGCTCCCTGCTCTGGTTTGTGCCCAGCCAACTTCTGGAGTATGAGCATTATTTTAAGCACATGGGAAGTCCTGATGACTTCACAGGACTACAGAATCAACATGCTCATGCTCTCTTCTTACACCACACCTTAGTATTGTCACTTAGTGTTACATTTTGTACCCTGAGCATGAAATACCCCATTTACTCCTATAGTGCAGGTACTGTATGGGAATCCTGCTACACTAGTCCCCAGGCTGCTAGACGCTATACTCATGAACTGCCAGTCTAAGTACAAGAGAGGTGGAGGAGGAAAGAAGGGATTATCACACACGTGAGGGACTGAATTGTAAGGAGATAAAGAACTTGACCAAGGCTATGGGTGGACTCCAGGGCAGAGCTGAGAACACAGCCCAGTCTGTTCCCAGCACTGTGAGATAGCCTTGCTGCCTTGTTACTTTATCAATGTATTTGCCTTTTGTTTTTAGGGTCTGGACATCAGCAAGAACATCTCGGTACGTACTGCCTTTGCAGAACACATTTAACTTGTATTTGCATTATCGTGAACCAAGCCCCTGTAGTGCACTGCATTATATATGGACAAAAAAGGGTCACTGACCCCTTGAGTTTACTATTAAAGTAACAGACACACATGTACTGTGACTTACTGCGTTTGGTCTGTTGTTCTCCCACCTCCACTGCAGACAACAGCTGGCTTCAGGAACAGGCTCTCTGATATTAGCAGTACTTGTTTTTCAGGGACAACACCAGCACAATGAGGGACTAACTGCTGAGGCCTCCAAAACCCTTCCACAGCATATGTTAATCCTAGGTTTGATATTTCCGTGAGTAAACTTATAGGCAATTAATAGCTTAGAAATCAGGGTTGCAGTTTTCAGCTGAACCCATGATCTCATCTGAAGTTTTGACCTGAAAACTTAGCAGAGCCCCAAGAAGAATTACTGAGATGGGCTCTGCCTGGGCTGGTGCTTGTGGCTGGGCAGTGGCCAGGTCGTGCGCCCAAGGTGGCCACAACTCATGTATTAATGGCTCTGCTGGTTGCACGGTGGGGCAGGCACCTTGGAACAGAGCAGAACAACACCCTGACCATGACAATGGTCCCACTGAAATGGGAATGGGTTTCTTCCCATTATGCTAGTCCTGGGGCATGATCTTTTTTTTTCTGTTCCCAGTGTTTTCCAGCCTTTACTTTAGGAAATTTAAATTAGGAAATTTAAAACAATGTAGCAAAAAACCCATGAAACTTGGATGTGTGGCTCCTTTTCAGTTCAGGAGTCCAGATGAGCTCAGCCTGTAGAGAACAAACATTAGGGAGGGCCTAGTGAGACTCCCTGACCTCCTGGTAATCTCTATTAGCATTTCAAATGTAAATGCTCAATAGCTGTGGCTTGTAGACGTGACAGGGAAACAAAGGCTTGATCTCTTCTAATTCCTGGTCCACAAAAGTCACCACCTTGAAAAGGGCTGATACCAATGCACCTGGCCTAATAGAAAGGAGTCAAGCTGCTTTTTTGGGTTGTTTTGTTGTAAAGCCCCCCTGAGTGCCTGTGAGAAGGTAGGAAACCTATCTTTTTCTTCAGGACAGTATAACAATAAGGTAAAACGTGCCTTTAGGCAGCTACTCAGCACTCACCAGTAAAGAGCCATCTCTGAAGCTTTAAGTCAGAACAGCAGGATCCTAGACATGGAAATGTTACCAAACAAAATACAAAAAAGGGTGGTATTACTGATAGCTCATCCATCCTGTCTCGTTGTGTCCTATAGAGGTATCGGCTGGCCATGGGGCATCATGGCAGCGTGTTAAAAATTCTCTTGTAGGACTGACTCTTATGTGTCTTAAATAAAGAAGGTCCCCTCTTCCTACTACCCTGGAGTACCCTAAAGTATCATATGGTGGCCAGATAAGATCTGCCAGAAACTAGCCTCTGTTCCTTCAAGTTGTGGTTTCCTTTTGCTCCCTAGAGTGAGAGCCATGCTTGGGGGAGAATGAGAGATCTGATGAGGAAGACACGGCTGAGAAACCAGAACAAGCTAGGACTGTCCTCTGCTGCTCTCAAAAGGTCCTGTCCACAGTTGTACAGGTAAGACAGAGCTGTGGGAGATTTTCACTTAATGTGAGGAGGAGATGGTAGAATACTTGTCTCTGTTTGTTGTTGGCTGAAGAGGACCCCTTTTTTACCTTCTTTCCATTGCATATAGTGATCCTGGCAAGCATAGCCGTTTGCTTCCCTTAGTGGCCAGGTGCTCTAAGATCCCATCTGGATAATATCACCTGTGTGAGAGTAATGGAAACATTAGGGTCCCTAAAAGAAGGGGCTTATCTCCAGCAGGGCAAGAGGATGTTGATAATTAGCCAGAGCCATTCTATAGCCTAATTATTTGTCTTTCTGCTCCCTCCTAAGCGTTGCAATTGAGGTCAATGCTCTCCTCTATCTACCTTCACACCTTTCATCCAGTGGAACAGTACCCCACATTGCATCTGATGTGTGGTTGGATGGGACAGTCAGAATCAGCTGGAAGGTTTCCTGTCAGGGGAAGGGGAGATGATGTTTGCTGAGCATGTGCTCATGGGTGGGACCTGCTTGTTGCTGTAGATCAACGTCTGGGTCATGCATGAGGACTCATTTCTATTAAGAGATCTGTGCTGGTTCCTTGGGCAAGTTTGTCTACTAGGCTAGTTACAGCCTGGCCTCTGAGCTATGCTGTGTGGCGCGTGTCTGTCTGAAGTAATGACAGCACTGCCAGCCACCCCTTGGACAGATAGTCCCTGTATACTTGCTAAGTTCTCCCAGCTGGTCTGGTGAATTTGGGGTGTTTGTGTATATAATCAGGTAACAGGAAGAGCCTGGGTATCTTACTCACCAAAGCAGAAGCATTACATGTTGCTGCACCTCTCCCCGTTTTCTCAGCTGAGGTCTCAGTAACCTTGAGCTGAACAATTCAAATGTGCTTAAACCCTCCTCAGGTTTTAGAGGGAGCGATGGTGGGGAAACAGCCGTTGTTTAAGCACTCACGAATGTCCCATTGTTCCCCTCAGACAGCTTGTACCTACCTTACAAAATGAACTGGGAATCTTGTAATTACAGCTAAGGGGGGAAAGAAAAGAAACCCTCTGTAATTCATGGAGTGATTTTTCCAGCTGGGAAAAGCTTAGTTGGGGCCCAAGCACACTAACAGGCAGGCGAGCTTCCTCCTATTGTTTGGGAAACTGAAAGAAACACAAAGCAGAGCGAGATCAAACAGTTCCATGTAAAATAGATGGTCGACCAGCTGGGGAAAAAATACAAAATCTTGTGAACCTTACCTCTGAACCTAAATAGAATCAGGACTTTATTTGGGCTTCGTCAAATTCCTGCCTCTGTAATCTCCCAGTGGGCCCTTTGTCTGCAGCTCAGAGGCCACTGCCAGTGCTCCCTGCCTGAGAATTGCAGGTTAGATCCTCAGCTGGCTAAGTCAATGTACTTCCAGTGAAGGGCCTACCCAATAGCTCCTAACAGAACTAGCTTTTACCCCTTTCACACTTATACTGGACAACTACTACTGTCATAGAAATGCTGTATGACTTTTTACCTGGCTGTAACTGGGCAGCCCCAGAGGTCATGTAAGCTTTTTCCAGGCTGCTTTCTGTAGCTGATATACAGCCTTGCCTTTTCTTTCACCAACTTTCTTCTCCCATATATCTACAAAAAAACCTTGCCCCTACCCTTGACCCTTATTCTCCCGCTATTTCCCCTTCTGCTTGCTAGATTTTATCCCCCAACTCTATATGTATTTGCTCTTACTTTTTTTATTCCACACCCTGCAATAGCAATGCACTGACACTGGACTTTTCACTAGTGCCTGGAAAAGCTTGGCACCTTGCTTCTCTGGCATTTTAGATATGTAGCTGCCCTTGGTCTCCTTTGAAATAAAAAGTTAGGCTTAGTGGATCAATTACACTCCTGCAAAAGCCTCTGGACAGAAAGCCAGGCCCTTGCTACAGCAGTACCAGAACAGTAAAGCAAGAAAGCCTCGCTCATCTGCAGCTCTCAGCAAAGTAAATGTTGAAGCCCTGATACTCTCAACATTTAAAGCCACTGTCTTTGTTATAATTTATGAAACATGTTTGTCCTGGCTCCTGGTCCTGTTTGTACATGTAGGCATACGGAATTGGCTGGCTTTTGCTTACCCAGGCTTCCTTGGGCTCTGAGACGTCTCCTAAGGTCTTGAACTGGAACAGGTTGAAGCCTGGTGCCCTTTATTAACATACAACTCTGAAGGAAGCAGATAGTTGTTGCTTTTGACACCCAGTCCCACTTGAGTCATTCGAGCAATTAGAAAAAGTGTCTTTGTTTTTGTAACTAGGTCAAAGCAAATCCCCTTTCATGCTCCCACTCTGTATATGATGAATGATCTGCTCCAGGGCAGTTGTTTTGTTTTTCTTCTCTTTTTATAACATCCACAGAAGAATTCTCATAGTAGAGAGCGGGAGAGAGGGAGGCCTGCCAAGGTAAACATGCTGGCACAAGACTTGGTGGTTTGTCATAGATTGTTCTAAACAGGCTCAGTTTTTCATTTCATTTTCTTTTTCCTACTAGTACATTTACACGAAGCAATGTCTATTTTCTGCAAAGGACCAGAACAGTCTGATGAATGACTTGATCATGGTGTTATGACCTTAAGCAGCACATGGATCTGGATCCGACATGTGGCAGGAAAACTAGATTTCTTCCCCAAATCATTGCAGAATGATCCCTCCACAAAGAGCAAGGAACTTAATTCCAGTTCAAATGACCTCCAAAAGAAGAACCTTTCACCTTTCTGCTGTGACTGGCTTTAGTGACAGAAAACTGTTCTTAAATGATAGTGGAGCATCATACAGTCAAATACTTGCCATTATTAAAAAAGTTACAGTCTGATGCTGCTTCGAACAGTAAGGAGAGAATCTGGCCTGGCCTGGGAAAGCGGGCTGCAAATTCTGCAGGAGCCTATCTTGATCAATTTATTGCCTGTATGTTGCCAGTCCATCTGACATTATAAAATATGTGAAGCTGCCTCTGTCTAGAACAGCATTACAAATGATCTCCAAAAATTGAGGGTCAAGGAGGAGCACATTAGCACTTTCCTGTATTTTCCCCTTACTTTCCCTAGCTTCCTTTGAGGACAAACAGAAAAGACATACAGTCTCCCACTTCTTGCTGTGGCTGCTGCTGGGAAGCAGACTGGCCCAGCAGTTGCCTCTGTAGCTCTGCCAGGGCTGGCACAGCCACCTCAATGAAAGCAATTGTTCTCAGGAGCTTTTCTGATGCTATCCCCAATCCCTTTCCCGGGCATGATCCAATTTGGGAGCTTTGGGCAATGCCAACCTGGCTTTCCTGTTCAGACACACCCCTACCTAAGTGAGAGCTGCAGCTTTAATGCAGCTGCGTGGGAATGAGCTAATCTCAAATTACAGTATCTTTCATGGTAAGGATGCTAGTTTCAGTTCGACAGCCACTAGAAGCTCATTCCTGTATGATGGCTAGTTTGTGGTTAGCATAAAGTTAGGAAGGACAGGGCAGTTCTAGCATTACAACCCCCCTATCTCCAGTATTGTATAGCAAAGGCTGAAAAGAGCTTCAGACTTGGGTCTGAACAGTGGTCTTCACATGCAAAATTGCTACCAAGGAAGATCTCTGTGCTTAGGCCTGAGAAGCAGCCAAAGAACTAAAGAATAACATCAAGGCAGAAGTTTGATCATTTCATTATAAAAGAATTAAGAGCTGGACAAAACAAACAAAGAACAACATAAAATAATCACACAACATTTAGATTAAAAAGAAAACAAATTAGTAGCTGGCAAAAATAAAGAGTCTGCAACATAGTCAGGACTGAGTTGAAGAAGTTTTCCAATTCAAATAGCTAATATTATTTTAAATAAATATCTGTTAGCTAATTATTTACAGAAAATAGCTTTGAAATATTGCATTTAAAAACCCCAAAACTACAGCTTTTCTTTCTTAAACAGCAGCTATTTTTAAACAAAATGTTTAAAAAGGTTTGTCTTTCATAAGTTCTGGAGGCCTGAGCTAGCTAAGCCATTTCAACCAAACAGGATGCATTATGCTTGTTTCAATTGTATATAATAAATAATGAACAAAAAACTAAACTGGAACAGTCCACAGCAGCTAGCTGGTGTTGTTCTTCAAAATGTCTCATTTTCTACTTACTACTTGGGGCCACAATTTTTACCTCTCCTGTGACATTCACCCACCAGTCTCTCCCCCTTGCTTCCAAGCTAAGCAAAAACTGCTCATTGCTTTCAACAAAATGATGTTCGTGTCCATCCATTACGTTGTGACTCCATGCCAAGTGCTGCATTGTGTAGCACGCTCCTTTTTTTGAATGCTGCCACAAACATTTGGACAGCATCTGTTTTGGAATTTCAAACTGGAGAGAGGGAAGCTGCTTTGGTTGCAGCATGGATATTGGGTACATATGCATAGCATATTAATACTCAAAGCACAGCCATGCATTCTGACTGGTGTCAACTTCAATTTTATTTTTCCATTTCTTAAGGCCAGATATTACGTCTTCAGAGCTGAGAAAGACTGAGAGGAACTCCATGATTGTTCTGGGGCAAAATACAAAGAATGAAAACATATGGCCTTTCTGATAACTCAACTCAAATGGAACAAGGTAAAATAAGTAAAAGCAGCATGTGTGTCTTTATGGGCTGGGTTTTTTTGCCTCTTCTCAGCACAGGCATGAGACTGTTCTATTCCTTCATCGAGACATATCCCAACATGCAAAAACAGGAACAGGTCAAATTTTTGAAGTTCAAATTATATGGGCTTATGCCAGCTGAAGACTCACGTATCTTCATTTTAGCAGTCCCCTACTTTTTAAAAAAAAATAATAAAAAATCACAATTTAAAACCATTTGTAGTCTAGGCCACATCATGTAGCCTTTTTACAAAAAGTACAGCAGCAAATTCATCTACCTGCAGTCAGTCAAAAAAACCTCCTAAATAAGCCAACCAGATGTCTTGTGAAAAATTGCCCATAATCAAGACTAAGAGTGAACCAGGCTCAGTCTTAATCTTCCATCTTTGGGGGAATGGGTTAAATGCAGAGAAACCCTTTCTAATCTTTTGCATTCACTTTATGTTTCTGTTTCAGAAAGGCAAAGTGGGAACACCATTTGGACATAAAAACAAAAGCCCCAGGATTACTTCATCTTACAGTTGTCAACAGGGCAACTCCGAT